TCCGGAGTGCTTATGCAAGGGTACTAACAGTAAGGTAAAAGTAAAGTCTGTTTACGAGCCTAGTGGCCCATTAGGCCGGTGCTTAACTCTGGTTTCTAGCATGAAGCGACTAGGAGTATTTCTACTCCCCCCTAGATGGGATGCCAGTCCATCGCAGGGTTACCCCCAGCATTAAATAGCCGCTACCCATTTAGACACCTGGGCGAAGAGAGGCACTGTGAGGGTAAAGTGTCTTGCCTAAGAACACAACACAATGTCCCGGCCGGGGCTCGAACCCGGACCACTCGATCCGGAGTCGAGCGCACTAACCACGAGGCCACCGCGCCTCCACACTAAGAGTAGAATATATGAACAAAGTTGAAATGGTAAATGGTACTAACAGTGCAACACCTCACTTCTCTTTAAAATTTTTATTTATTGATTTGACTATATCTTTTTGGAAAAAAAGATATGGTCAAATCAATAAATAAAATAAATATACTAGTATATCACACGACGTAGTCTTTAAACCTTGACTTCCATAAGCCGAAACAAGACAGAATTTCTCCTTACAAAATCAATACAATATCAAGACAGAATTTCTCCTTACAAAATCAAAACAAGATCAAGCAGATAAGTGATGAGAACATAGAAAGACATCCATTTTGGAATGATTCATTGATCCATTACCACATTCTCCTAATTAATATCATAAGAATTATATGGCAGGCAGTAAGAAGAATTATCAATGAGGTCTTGGGAGTAAAAGGGATAAAGGCTGTCTGTGCACCCTTTTGTGAGCGGCGCAGTGTGGTCCCTAAGTTCCTTTGAGGGGGGTTAGGGATTGTTTGCTCAGTGTTAGTTACTTCTCGATCTTGTCGATCCTCTCGATCTTCCTGATCTTGCTCCGAATGCGTCGATTCAATTTCAAGCGGGTCCATTCTTTCAGCTGTCATTCTAGGAGTGAAAAGGATGATTAATTACCTTCTCTGATTGGAGTTTGACAACATCTGCCGCTATTCACTCTCCCCAACTTACCCACACCTTTCTCTTCATCACCATTTAGATCCAGAGCCGAATTTTTGTTTAGTCTTATTGACACGGGCAGATAAATATCTGATTGGTATGCGGAAGGACACAATCACGCCAAAGCGAAACGAATAGAATAACCAATCGCTTATATCTTAAAAATAAAAAAGCATGGAGACCTATCACGCTTTACAAATGTACGTCATCAAAATAGCTTTTATCTCTGACATTGTATAAACGATGCTGCTTCAAATCCCCTGTCATACCACTTCAAACTCAGGATGAAAATTCTCTGAATCCCAAACAAGTAATTTTTTCTTGTTATTGGAAGATCAGTTTAATAGTTAGCTCAGCAAACATTCTTAAATACAGTTTTATAGTTGGGAAATTTTTCCATGGTTTCAAGAGCACGATGAATTTGTTAGAGGGCAAAACTCGCACAATCATCGTCCACCAACGATTAACTGTGTCGAGTTGGCAACAATGTAACACAGTGGAACTGTTCAAAATTGTGTAAACAGAGCGTTAAATACGGAAATAGACAGCTTAAAGGCTACAGTCTGAGTGGCGCCGTAAGATAAACCTGCCAATTTGGTGACTGAATAAAACAATCAACGTAGGATCAGAATGAAGAGTGGGCTTTTTCACTGCTCTGTGTTGCTGTTATTATCAAGATATTCTCAACTTGAACAAAACTACGGAGCTGAAAAAGGTTATTGTTCGATGGTCTGCATTTTAAATTTAGATCAAGCTCCTCCCAGTTTATAGTAAGTGTCAGTAGTAAATGTTTTTCCTTGTTGTCATTAGGGAGATTAACATTGAGAGATTCTGAAATATTACAACGCTATTATGAGGCACTGAGAATGTGAGCTTGTTAAAGGGACCCGCCACCATTCTTTGGAGTTCTGTGCTCCTTATATATTTACTTTAACGGGAAATTCACGGCTCCAAAATTTCTCTTCGTGATCATATGCACAGTCTGTCTGTGTGACAGCTTATGATACTTACCGCCTAGTTATGGGTTACCTATTTGTGGTTTAGTGGCCGTAATAAAGGATAGCGGCGAGCGGAACTTGTTGCGTGCAGACTACCCACTCGCTGCTCTCCTAGTTCCTGCACATTTGTCGCTTTTTTTTATTCGTACTAATTCATGGAACCTTTCGGCGGGCTAATTGTGGTTCAGTGGTTCTGTATACTCTGGATGAACGCAATTAGACCCGATCCTACGTAGATCTATATATATATTTTTTAATTTTGGTAGTCTGGACTTATAAAAAGATCCAGCATAACATGCAATCGTACGAACGCCAACCTATAAGTGTAGTGGTCTGATGCGTGATTCAGTGCAGATGCTTTACTGACAGAGTTCAGGAGAACGCTGGAAAAACAAATATTTAATTTGGCAGACATTTTAGTATCTTATCGTGGTCAAGTTGAAAGAATTTTAATAGCTGTTGAACTCAGATGATGACTTTTGAAATACACACCCTGTCTACAATGGCCGACTCGCTGTCAAATTATGTTTGTTAATTTAACATGTATCACAATTCCTAGACCCATTAGACGGCGTTTTATCAACATTCAAGGCAGGCCACTTCAGATTCAAAGTCAATTGCAACAGGATTGGAGCTAAAAAGCTAACAAGGCAGAACTGGCGAATAGTGGAATTACTTAGAGCTTCTTCGCAGTCGATTGCTTCGATTAACAGAATCGCGAAAACTTAAGGTAAGGTTGTAAAACACGCTATTTTAAATAATGGACTTTTCCCCGAGTGAAATGATAAAAAAAAAAAAAAAAAGGGACAGGGAAGCAAACCGAACCTTCACGAAAAATAGCTGTAGATCATCTTACTGATGGCAGTAACGAGGAGTTTAAACAACTTGTGGTACACCACAAAGCACACATATTCGCCCTCTAAGCGCATAACAGAAAAACGGTATGCACTCCTCAGAATGTTAATTCTGAAGTTGGAATTGTTCCACACCAGACATTGTTTCAGCTGTCTCACTCTAGACATGCACATGTTTCCCAAGTATACTAGATGACTTCCTCTCCGGTCAAAATGTATAGTTATAAGAACAGACCTGGGTTGAAGTATTAAAATTTAATCACCGATGGGTCAGAGAATCGTATTATGCAGAACCTAAAGTATGGTGATTTAGAATCTGAGATATATCTATATCTTTTCCGTGCCGTGGTACTTTGTATCTTGGCGTCTGAGCTACCTTCCTCATGTTACTTGGCAGTTACACCCTTCGGTTTTGAAATCATGCAAAACCTCAGGCAGAATCACCTCAATACAAATCTGCGTTTGAAAATGCACAGGTCCACAATAATCCCTTCAAGTTCTTCCCTCTCATGAACATATTTTTCAGTAAGATCCAGATGGAGAAGCCATTCTGTTGATTCTCATTTCACGGCTCAGAAAAGTAGATAATCCACAAAGATGTATACTTTACGTCGTAAGAACCACATTTCGGCTAGATATCTCCCGCAAAGATGATTAATGAGGCCACTGATATTATAAGGGACTTGCTGTTTAACCCTGTGTGATTAGACGAGAGGTCGTTTAGCTTACTAATCGGTAGAGACTGCCGATAATGCATTTGAGAAACAACAACAACTAGCAAGTAAACCTGTAAAACTGAGAGATAAATTAAGTGAAAGAAAGCTGATTCTTTTTCTTTTCTAGGCAAATTGTTTGTAGAAATCCTTCTTAATAATAACAGGCGGAAGATTATTATTTTCCTAGCTATTTGCCCCTCGGTAATTTGGTAAGTTTTGTTTTCATATTATGAATAAAATCTCTTAGAGTAGAACACTTATGTAACCTCTTCGTTCCCAGGACCATGATTAAACGAAGTTATTTCCCACACACTTAACCGTATACCGTGGAGTTTGAAAAACTCTAATTCTTCATTTCGTGCTTTTCTGAAGTCACATTTCGTTTGTGTATTGTGCAAAGAATTTCGTTTAGGTATTGTTTCAATGGTTCAAAAGTGGTAATTTACGCCGCGACAAAATGGCCATCAGACTAAAACAATTGGCCTATCATGTCAACACTTTGCATGAACAATTATAACTTCATTTAAGCCTTTCGACACACCGGAAGTGACATGATTGGTCTATGGAAACGACGGAAACCAAAGATACACATAATTTTTGCTAATTAGTCCCAAGGGCGTACAAAAAATATGTAATCAAACCACGTTCTGCGATGTAACTTCCCAAATGATGCTGTTTGAGGCGTCTTCTGATGAGTGAAAGTACTGTCTATTGCGACTACGCTATAGTTCAAAGGATAATGGATTTTTAAGGATCTCTTAGGGCAATTCTTGCTGTGAAGGTATCAGACTTTGTTGAGTCTTCAGAGTAGGACCGTGCACATCTTAATTAGCTTTTCAAATTTACTTTTAGCGTGGTTAGAGTCTCTTCTTTTTAAAATGTGTTGCTCTTTATTAGCACACGTACGTTAAGCCCATTGTCTTAGCAACAAACGCAAAGCAAATTAATTAGCTTGCGAGCGGAAACCACGCTCTTTTATCAAGCTACAAAAGCCAAAGCTTTACTTGCCAAACTGAGAGCACGCATTAGTAGCTGATGTGCGGTCTCCTCTAAGCGATTTAAAGGCATGCGTGGTAACCTTTCATAAGAATAACATCCCCGTGTACATCTTTAAAGATTGACTCGTCTCTCCTTGATCCTCAAAACCCTTCAGTGGCTAACAGTGTTTTGACATTTGAATTTTGCATACTGAAACGCAAAATGGTATGCGTCGAAAAGTGTCCATTGTTGTTTTAAGGGAGCATGACAATAGAATGCCTGTCAGATTGAACAATATGATCTATTTATTGGCTGACATCCTGAGAAACCTCTAACCTTACCTTAACTACTCTCGCATAGCGAAGAGACAAGGATCTTGGTGAAACATCCATAAAACAGCATTAACTGGACAGTTTAATTGCGCCTCAACACATATTTTTGGATCATGCAGAAGGCGTAGATCCTTTATGTCGCTAAGACGAGAAAACACGGCTCCACCGCGAATGTTGTATGGAGCTTCGATGCGCCAGCCACGAAATTTCACGCCACCACAACAGCGACGGAGTAGCCACGGGCTAACACAAAGAAGAGGCAGCCTCGGACATCTCTATTCTTCCAATAAGAAGCCAGTCATAGGTCGAAGCAATAGTTTCAGCTGTGCTAATGACGATCTTAGTCCAACCAAGCTGGACTTTCAATCCCTCAAGAAACGGCCGAGTTTACTGGGTGGTAAGTTTAAGTCCGGGAATAAGGACCCCGAAGGTGTTGCCTGCAGCGAGAAACACTCCATAGTAATGCTGGGAACAGGAGGAGTTGGAAAAACAGGTAAATGGGCCATGCAAAGCGGTTACGTTACATAACACACAGCGTGTAATAAGTCTAATTCACAGCCATTGTAACTAAAATTAGAGAATTAATGCTAGGTAGCATACAGTTCTATTCCGCAAGACACATGGATCATTAAGCTCGTCTGCACGCAAGAACAGAATTTCAGTTGACGAAACATTTGAGATGGATCAAGACAGCTCTTCGATTAGATTAAAAGCAGATAAAAGAGTATCGTGACTTTGAAAGCTTTTGAAAATAAAACATGGAACAACTTCTTTCATGACCATCAAAGTAATGATCATTTCTTTTCACAATGTACTGAACAAAGAACCGGCGTGAAAGCGGGAATAATTGCATCCCTAATATCGCACAAATCATCAATTGTGGACTTATTTCCTAAATTTCTTAGGAAACCACTTGAGTCTTTCCTTTAGGAAAGCTGATATAGCTATTCCTCGCCCGCAACTTCTCTTATGGATAGGAACATACGTCACTCTAGATTTACTATCAGAGTTTATATTGTCGGCTTTACTCAAACCTTAATATCGCGTTTTGTTTGAATAGCGATTAGTGCGATTGACATATTTCTTTCCCTTTTGTCTTTCAGCTTTAGTAGTTCGCTTCGTGACTGGTCGATTTTTAAATGAATACGATCCTACATTAGGTGAGGAAGAAGTTTTTCCAAAACAGTTTGTCTGACGGCGTAAAAATATAAACTTTTGGCAGGTCGTTGATATCAACCGGAAAGATGGGATGAGTTTCTCGCGCGGTCTGATATAATTTCTGACAGATTTGTGTACAAAACAATTTTCAAGTGTTAATTTCTTTAGCAGGTTTTTTTCGCTTTCACTTGCTCGTGCGCAGCGCAAGGGTTAATCACAATCACGCCTTCTTCCTCGCACGCGGATCAAAAATCCAGAGCTTTGGATAAACAGATAGATTGAATTTTCTCAGAATTTTGGCTGATTGAAAGTACTTTATAACACGATTGAGACTAACCTGAACTTAAATAGCTTTTCTGGATTTACCCAGTAGTATTTCAACAAGAGTTGAATTCTGCGTGTGTATAAGAAAAGTTCCAATTTTCTCAACGAAATCACACTAAAAATAAAAAAAAAATTGGTTAATGACTAGAGGCCGTCGGTCTTTCCGTTTGTATCTTTCAAATAATTTCCGCTCATGGTCGGGGGTGTCGAGTTTCGTGTGTAAGGAAATGGCTTTAATCTATACAACACCGCCTTTTTGTTGTTGGTTCAATGGAAATACTTATTTCAAAGCCCACCATACCGCCATGTTACGAAACATAGACCTGCTAATGGTTCCACTGTATTTTTGGCTTTTAGAGATGGTTTATGAGAAATCCTTACCTGTTGGTGACAGCAATGTATCACTGGACATTCTGGACACCGCTAGCAATGTGAGTAGTTCAGTCGCTTCTCCTTTGATCGTTTACTGATTGTTTTAAAATGTTTTCTCTAAGTGCTAGCATGAAAAAAAAACAGTGTTTTTTACCGACACGGGGCTCAGTTTACAGATAATTTTGCCGATAGCTAAGGCCTTAAATTAGCTATCTTTTGGCTGAGATAGCGAACTGGGTAACGCCTTTTAAGACTTTTGTCCAACAGTCAATACCACATCACGTTGCTACGTGTTCAATTCTTCTTTACAAAGTCTTCTTATCAACCTTTTTCAAATAAACAGATGTTTACTTACATGATTTGATTTATCATTTTAATTGGTAACAGACTAACATTTCCTGATTTGCTAAAGCTAAAATGAATTTTACGCCACATGTGAGTTTAAGTAACCGTTGGGCCTTTCTGGAATTTTCCAAGGCTAAACAACTGTCATAAAAAAAGACATTGTTAGGCAGCTAAAACTTTAGGACAGTATGACCAAAATGTTGACAAAATGCAAGAATTTTAAAAGCATCAAGCAGAAGTTATTAAAATCGAAGCTTCTCATTTACTGTAATGCAGCTACACCGTTGCTTTCCGTTGGCCCCCATATGACCACTCTCAACCGTTTGTCAAATGAGATTGATATCGTAAGTAACTTCGAACGCATGGAACATAGATCTATTCCAGGAGATCTCTGAAGAGAGAGATGTTGTGGAAGTTACTGTTACATAAATGTTGTTTGTTGAAGATACTGAAAACAGTAATAAGCCGATAAGCTACATTCTACTGACTTTTTTTGGTGACGAAATAGGCGGAGATAAGTAAAGCTAATTGAAATTTTGAGGAATGGATTGATCACCATGATCAATTTTGGCTTATCTAACCAGAAATTAGGGTCTACAGACGTATAGGCTTTTAAGATGAAACCTTCAGTTATACGATTGTCTGTACTCAACGGAAGCTCCAAGTCATACCAAAATCCCATTCAGTTACTATAAACTTACAGCGTTAATATTGAGTAGATAAACCTCTCTTGGTGGCTGTTATATTGAAGAATGATGCCCCCAGGTCGTTTTGCTAAGGGGCAAAGCTCCAGCGTAATGGTGAGGTCTGAAAGTCCTTCAGCTGAAGGCATTATCCTACGATACATCAACAATGAACCAAGGGGGGCATTTGTCTAATTACCCTGCATTAAATTTGCACATAGTTTTAATACATCCTAGGGGGCTTACCTAGATTAATGGAAATATTGTTTTTAAAAATGCCTCTGGTTTTCTAATAACCCAAAAGATGATGAGATCTCCTTTTGTAAGGAATTGTTTTTGATTGATGTTGGGTGCCTGTGGAGCCAACCCTGTTGCGGGTTTGTCTAAGGGATAAAAGCTTGTTTCGGGTAGCCCTCCCTCCTCCCAAACCCCGTTTAACTGAGATGATTGTCCTTTGTCTAAAAGATTCGAGTCCAAATATAAAGTAAACGTGCTTCTTTATGAAGAAGAAGTTGCTGTAAGTGCCCAAAGAATCGGCCCTCTAGATTCGCTGACGGCGGTTCAGCTGTTGTTATTCTATTGCATTCCCTGGCGAGAACCTTATGCAACTCCTGGGCGACCTCTGCCTATAAAAATTTCCTTTTAAGTAAAGGCTTTTCCTCGACAACTCACCCGTCACCAAATAGTTTAATTAATCTCAACATCACATTACCTCTTATCGCCACGTCCATCTAACGGCTAGTCATAACAGAAAATTATTTGATATTTGATAGGACGATAAATGACCTGAAAATTTGTCTGGTCGTTTAAAAATTCATGTAGTCTTCGTTTTTTCTTTCTTTTTGACTCAGGCTCAAGCTTCTTATATTAGAAATGGAGAAGGATTCATAGTGGTATACTCGATAACTGATCATTACAGTTTTGAAGTGGCAAGACAGCTTGTCAAACTCATCAAAGAGGTCAGAAAGCCTGACGGGGAGTGCCAGGTCCCTGTTATACTGGTCGGTAACAAGAAAGAACTCCGCCGAGGAAGAAGTGTTAGCAAAGAGGAAGCCAGAGAGACTGCAAGCGAGTTCTCCTGCTCGCATTACGAGACTTCGGCTCTAACCAATAAGAATGTTCAAATCGTGTTTTTCAATATGGTGTTCCAGGTCAGATTTACGAAAAAATCGCGGCAAAAGAGCCAAGGATCATCGGGTAATAATGGATTTCTGAGCTCAGTGCGTCAATTGTTTAACCACAGGAGAGGTAGTGTGCAGGGATGGTGATGGAATCCAAGATTTTTATATTGGTTAGGAGAAGAGTGACTCAGGCAAGACTAATTATACTTAATTGGAATTTCTTTGAGACCGTAGTTTCCGCTAGGTAATAAACTTATAACGGATCCATCGTAAAGTCTAAAATACGTAGAACTGTTGGTGACTTTTCAGACTGAAGTGCACAGGCGACAAAACTGTGTAGATGTTAGAACCAAGGACGCTTTGCTCATACAAGCATTTAAGCTTTTGCTCACTTGAAAAACGTGTTTCTTTCAAAACGGGAGGAAAAAAAATCAATCGGTTACAAAACATGGGATGCTGTGACATTCCAAAGAACGGCTGTGAATGAGGCTACAAGTTATATTGATAGATAGGAAAACATGACAGAACGTAAGTTAATAAAAAGAGCGCGAATTCTTTTCATATGTCTGTTGATGAAGCGATTTTTTCCTTGCGGGTAACTTTAAGAACAGTGTCGTTATAGCTTTTTCATCAATAAAAATAAAAGAATTTTTTATTCCGGGAATGAAAAATCACATTAAACTTATCCCGTACTTCATTCAGTTGATTTAATTTGTCAACTGCATTAACAAAATTTAATTTGTCTAATGCATTAACAAAATACATTTATTACCAGCTGGCTTGTTTCATTTGATTTCGGTTTAATTTCAAGGTTATCTAAAAAGAAATAGAGAAAAGAAGTATGTACTCAGTATAGCGTATCGGATTCAGAGACGATTACTAACGGCCAGGATTTTCTTAAGAGGCTTCCTAATGCGAAGAATAGTGAATGGTTTGATCAAGTTGTCCGACTGATTTAGCACGAGGTTTTGCCAAGTGTATTTCCTCTGCTGCTTTCACTATTTTAGCTCTACAGTCTCAGCGTAGAAACGTAGGCTCACTTTAAAAGAAGTGTTCAACAACTACAGCTGCTTGGTACGCGATCTCCCTCCCCTCTCAAAAATCAATAAAAAGATGGACGAAAATTATCTTTCCCGGGAGGGAAGGTACTTACCTGACGGGGAGACGTAGTTCTTCTAACTTCCTCGCAGACTGATACGAGCAATTCTGTTCCCCAACCCTCTCCCCAACCTGAGTCGGATCATTCTCCTCCCCTCCATGTTACTGTCATTCGTGACCTTCGCACTCAGGCTCTCTCAGAGGAAGCAAGGTACGCCTTGAACTTTTCTTAATGTGGTACCCAGACCGCGCGAGGCCGCGCTCTGCACCAGTATTGTGAGTATCAGTCGGAGAGGGAGTGAAGAAGAATTCAACATCGCATAGGAGTTAGGGAAGTGTGACGGGGTGTAGATATACACTATTACAACAAGTAGGGAAAAAACTTGGAGAAAATCTAAGACACTTATTGCAGTTACGCTCTTAATAGCCGATGAGATAAACGTTATCGATGTATGTATTTATTCATGATTTTCATCTATAAACATTTTGACGCTCTCTTATCAGCAAATCAGGATTAGTGTCACCAATCAATACCTATTTAGTACAAAAGATTTTTGTTTGATTATATTCCATCGCTTTTCTGTCTCCGCTCTTATTCTGAGTAAACAGCGAACAAGGTACCTGTCTGAATAAAGAACCTGAGACGATTTTTTTAGATGGGAAAATTAAGGTAAGAAATGTCTTGGCTTAAAATATCTCAATGCCTCGCCTATGTTTCTTTTTTTGTTGTAGTTTCTGTTTTTTTCCCTTCCGTTCGTACTACTTGCCATATGTTCTGAATACTAGTTATAGAACTATTAAGGAATACATCACGTTGTGACAATAACCATAGACAGCCGGCGTCACCTGTCTTTACGTAACAATGAATTGATGTTGTCTTCCGTTTCCGCTGCTTTACTTAAATCCTTCCTCTACAGTTGTGGGATAGTGATACAAATCAAAACGAGGAGGTCTCTTCTCTTCTGATCTTGGTTTAAAAAGAAGTGTAAATGGTTGTTTATGTGTGCGAATCTGTCATTTGGGTGGTAGTTGGAAACAATCATCAGTGGAAGCCTTACAAATTGTAGACAATAACATTGATAATGCGTGAAACTGAAATATAAAAAAAAAAACACAACACAGTTGTCAAATCTCCAAACTTGTAAAGAACATAGAATAACAATGTTTAGGCTATCTTCACTCATCAAACTCGTGCGCAAAGCGGAACAATCTTTTAGGACAGGATAACAACTGTAATCAGGGCTTTGTGTTACCATTTTTCTTTCCTATAAAAAGAAATTGGTATTCTGAAAGTTAAGCGTCGCCGTCCGCTATTGATGTCTTTACGCTGTTGTAGTCGTGATCGGATGAACGAATTCGATAATTGATAACTGACAAATACTGACTCCCACAAGTTATTTTTGTTGAGAATAATTAAATCATGCAATTTCCATTACATCCAAAGTAACTCAAGCCTCTCCCTTGAAAACTATATTTTAAAAACCTCCTCCACAACGAAAGTCTTTCAAAGCTCTCACGAAAAAAATGATGATTCGGAGAGGATTTTATGTGTTTGGATTGATTCCAGCCTCTTGAATACAGCTAATTGATTTTAAATCTTTTCTTAAATTCCCCGGCAGAGTGGCGCTTTTACCCAATAAATCTCCACCTAACTTCTTTAGTGAGAAAGGAAGGGCGTGTTTCTAATTGAACTAAGACGAAAATTGAACAAAATACAAAGACAGCGAGACAAATAAGAACTCTGTCACAAGAAAAACACAACACGAAATGAAACTCAAAGAATAAACAAAGAAAAACACTTAGCTGTTAATGAACGTCGCCAAATTTATTTGAGTTTGTTGGTTGTGTATCGTGTATCGCGTTGAGAGAGAATTAAAAGTAGCAATATACAAATCGCTCATCTCTAGCACATGGTGACTAATCAAGACACGCGGTCCTAAGGAAGGAAAAGTGCTTTATTTGACGTCAGACTGGCGAACGGGAAAATTTCTTTAAACAAAGAAAAACAAAAGATTCAATGGAATTAACAAACGGATAAAAGCATTTAAAAGTTCACACCCACTAAGTGACGAGCTATACTGCTAGCAAGTTTTTTTAATAATTTTTTTTTCTACATTTCCTTTTGTATTCTGCTAGCTTAGTAATTGAGTTATTGTATGAGACAGCCCAAGGCAAAATATTCCAATAATGAACGTAGTTTTTTTTTTGTATAACAAAACTGAAATTAAATTCATGTTCAGTTCACTAACTTTAAAGATGTGATAGAAAACCAGTACAGCTTTAAGAGCATCAGTGTGGTTAAATAAGGTACTTGCTCAGAATGAATACCTACGCCACTCGTGTTTATTTGTTTGCCTTTTTGTTTTTTATCTTTTCTTCAGTGATCTTTGTCATTTGTTATCTTTTTAGTAAAGATTAACTGACACGCGATTCGACTGACATCTTTCGTGACATTTATTCATGAATTCAGCTGAGGGAATCGTTGGGAGCAAATGGAACAGCACTCAGGATAAAGTCCAGAAAAAGATAATTTTTCCTATTTATATGTATGTATGTCCTATCAAAAAGAAGGAAAGCTCACAATACATCGCCAACAATATCCATTTACCGAGAAAAATGTTTGATGACCCACGGTTAATTGCAGCAAAAATTGTCATTTGGCTAAATTCACGCAAGAACGCTTACATGTTCTTAGGGAAGAGCTCTATTTTGATATTTCTTCAAACTACACGAATAACATGAAACATAAAAACATCAGCACTAGGTTAATCTCAGTGCTCATAAGTTTAAATCTCATTAAGCCTCTGTTTATCACGTTGGAGAGTTATTAAAATGTCTTCTTTTTAAAGAGGAAAAAAAACCACCAACCGATAGCTTATTTAGCTGAAAACTTTCGTGATCATTTCTAATTATTACTCTGCTCATTCGAGAATCACTATGCTGTTTTTGTGCTTTTTACTATAAAAACACATTCAAGTGTACAGTGTTTATCACGAAAGCCGCGAGAGAGTGCAATTCATTGAATATTTTTGTGATAAGAATGATTTCTCTCTTTTTATTGAAATCATCTATCATACGTAGGATAAATTGTAAAGTGCTTGTAACACTACTTAACATTACAGTCAAGTGATTAACTTCTATTTCATTTATAATCTATTGTATCACAGTTGAAAAAGCGTTCCCTCAGCTGGACTGAAATCGTTTATATTTATCAATAAAAGCTTCAAACCACCTGCCAAACTGTTTACCAGGACTGTACTTTCACTGTCTTGTTTCTGTACGGTAGCCACTTCTCACACATGGCTAACGTCGCACTTTGAATAAATGAGTCATCGTTGTTCCTCAGTAAGTGGAAGGTGACTTCGTCTGTCTGGCAACAGGAGAAATCTGCAAGTCAAAACAATCTCGTTTAATTGCACTTTAGGCATACTTATATACAGCTTCCGTCTTTCTTTCGCGCAATACAACGAATTTAGCCGTACTGGCTTGCAGCTAACCTGCATAGAACTACGCACCTGGCGGGAAATGCCCAAGAGTCTATTCATAACGAGCGTTTATTTCGAGAACGAACTATACAAAAAGGCGAGCCCAGTGGAACATGCTTTGCGTTACCAAAACAGAAAGTACTACTTGGCCTTATGAATGTGAGTTGTTTACAACTTGAGTGTCAGTTCAGTTCAGAGGGCCGATTTATTATCAAGATTGGAAGATTGTGAGGGAAAAAACTTGAAATAGTGTGAACAAGATGCTATCCGGCTATTGAGCTGTTGCACTCTTGAATCATTTCATCTCTCACAAACCTAGTATTAAGAGCAAAAAAGGCGTTCGGCGACGAGACAGGGAAATACAGTGACAAAAACACGTGTGTGTTTGGTACCGGTCTTTACTCAAGTCTCTATTTTTTTGCGCTATTATCAAGGTTAGAAAAAATAAACACACACCCAAGGGATTCCTTGTTTAAGTCTCGAATGAACTTCGCCAGCATCAGTTCAACTTTAAAGTAAAACATACATTGTTTGGTGAACAATTATACTGTGCTCTTTTGTCTGATCAAAATACAACGTGGTCTCATCATTTTTGTTGTGTCTCCTTTCTGCAGGCAAAAATAAACTTCAGAAGAGCAGGTTTCCAATTTTTATTATTTATTTTATTTAATTTTTTGCAGACGACACGTTGAGTAAAGCACATTTCAGTGTTATGTGTAACAGGTACTTTTGTGCTTTATTCATCATCCGTGTATGGTAAGATCCTAAAGCACGTTTTCTTTTGTTGCTCTTTCAGACAACGCACGGCAATGACCGTCTTGACTTATTTTTCTACTTATGTCTCATGCTCCTTTTATGTGAAAACGTGAGAAAATGACTTCTTTCAATGTGCTGCAGAGTAGTTAGCAAACCGTGGGTGACAACTTTACTCTCTAGAAGCTGTCTTTCTCTAGAACCATAATGGAACTAGATCTAATCAGTTAATGCCCCGACTGTTTGAGTTGACTGTGGGTTAAATGACATGATAGAGTTCGATCTGATTTATTCATGGTGTACCGATTTAATATGAAGGTAGTCATATACCAAACCAAACCCACTAAACATCCCCTTTCTTCGCTAAAAAGGGGAGGGAGGAAACAATTTCTTTATCGCGTTTTTAGAACAAACTCAAAAAGTGCATTCCGTATTCCATTGTCTTTTAAACGCAGCAACAATAGAAAGTGAACTATAACTCACAAATTTACAGTTCAGGGAAAACTCGAAAACAGACCACAAGAAAAGTATCTTGACACCTTACGTTACTATGCTAACGTTTGGTACAGAATAAAGAAAGAGGTCATTGTCATTATTGGTTTTAGCTATCATCAGATCCTATTGAGGTTCATTTGGAAATTAAATACCACGAAATCCTAGTTGTAGCAAAAGAGACCAAAAAAAAAAAAAAAAACCACAAAAGTATGGAGGCAGTTAAAATAGGTTCTTACTCGTCTTAGTTTCTTCTCTAACATCTTAATTGTGAATAGCAAGTTCAGGTATGTGAAAAAAGAAAGCTTGTTATAACACAGACTGAAAATGTTAAGTAGACTACAATTTGACAATTAGCTATCCAATGAAAGTAACTAATAGCTTACAACGTTTCATGTCTCTAAATATCGTGTCTTTTTATCACAAGAAATTATTCTTGAAAGACAACTAGTGTTAATTCTCCTGATCGGTGCTGAGGCAACAGCAAGATTTTAGTGAAAGTCGACACCTTTTCCAAAGCACGTTGTGCCCGTAGATTGCTTAAAGAGCTTCTAAATCACTCTGTACGATCATGTTAAAAAAAAAATTCCTCTTTGCATTTCCGGTTTCACGTGTAATCCGTTGGGTTGAGGCGAGACCATACAGACGTTATTGTATATAACGTAGGACGTTATATACAATAACCTTATCATTTCTCTTTAAGCTTATGGTATAAGTTCTTGCCAAGGACATTGGTTAAGAGAATAAAGATATTCGTCAATTAGGATTTATTTTAAAAATACCTGGCATATAATTTTTAGCGATTTTTTTAAATGGATGCCGATCTCCTAATGATTATTAAGATTAGAATTTATGGATTGGAAGTGCTCGGAAAAGTTTATTATCTAAAGCGCCTATATTTCCCTATGTATCTTTAAGCAAAATTTAGTTTTCCTATCCTGTTATGGCACACATTGCGTCCTTCACACTAATTTTTTTATTTCAACCATTGGATGTCAAGCAAATGAAATTCTGGAAGGCTGTTTGAGGCCTTAATTCATGATTTTGAAGTACGTCATATCGCGCAGAAAGGTGTTAATATAATCGCAGAGAATAGCTTTTCACTACGCATGCGCTTGCAAGTGAAACATGCGTGTTTCTCGTTTGTTTAAAATAAAGATGGAGGACATTATTCACATGTTCACTAGCTATGTTTGGAAGACGACATTTGATTTAAAATCGATATTTCTTGGTTTCAAGTCTCGGTTTGTCCTGGTTTAGTAATCGCACTTCTTTAAGTAAAGGATCACCACGCTCAGTCTTTATGCGTGCGCGTTTATTGAAAATGATCCCTAATACGGATTTTGTTTCTCACATTTTAAAACCAATTTAATAATCCTATGACTTGTTTGCACAGCTTTGCTCGATGAAAAGCGTAAAACACATAGCTGACACAAGAAGACGCACAACACATTTGAAGTTTTTCTTCATTGTCGTATGGCGAACGTTCCGTGATCACAGCGAAATTACCTGTTGGCGAACATGAGAATGAATTCTCTGAAATGGGGGGATTATGGTAGATCCTTTGAAAATTAAAACCCTAAATGTTTTTATAGCTTCTCACAATGGCGAATTTACCCTCAAAAACAGTGGGATATGCAAAAATTGCACCATTACTGTTTTTAATATTTTGATTATGATCTATGTACTTCAGAAATCAATAGAGCTTGGGTAAGGTACGAGTATCAGTTCAGACAAAATGAAGACAAAGAAAATTTGGAACAAGAAAATATCACAGAATATTGCGTGCACGTGGGTGTACTTGGCGCACAGGACCATTTTGTTCAACAGGAAAAAAAAAATCCTATTTACTGAGAATTCAAACTCAATTCCATCAAGGAAAAATTTAAAGAAAAATCAAACAATCAATCATCAAATCAATTATTCCGTGTAAGTTTCAGCTTATCAAGCTTGGCAATCTAGCAGACTAAACAGAAACCTTCCTGACATTTTATTTCTTTCCATTCGATTCTACGAAAAATCATCTTATCTGCACACTTCTCAATTTTTTTTTCTCAGCTGTCATGCTAGAAAAGAACCGAATACGATAACCTCTTAGGAACACGAAACATATTTATGTAAACGTCTGAATAAGAGTTAAACAAAAGACTGTTCTCGCTAATCATGTAACATGAATTTTTATATATCAATTGCATATCTTCCCTTCTTCTCTCGGAAATATCAGAAGTTGCTAAAATTTATCGCTAGTGCCACCTTTCATTCGCAAATGATTATTCACTGAAAAATCATCACAACAATTATTTTGGCTAGTACAGTGCTCCGGAGGCAAGTTTAAAAGGGAAGAATAACCTTCTTCGCAGGCCAAATAACCCAGTCGTGTTGTTACGATTGGAGTTTCAAGAAATAAACCAACCACCTTTTGAAGTTTTTTTCACAAAGATTTATTCATCTTCTCCACCTACTATAACACAGAGTGGATGTGGAAGCTTAATTTCAATGGTGAATTAATTACCTCTCGAGCTTATGTTAGTCCAAATTATTGTCACTATCCTTCTCTTCAGCAAAACTGCACACCCTTCAAAATATTGCAAAAGGCACAGTTATCAGTTTCATGAAAATATATTCTATCAAAAACTATTTAAATAAGCGAAATTTACAGGTAAACCTGCGATGCAAAGTTATTGTCTTAAGAAACCTTTCTTCACAATGATTCTTGTCCGCGAAGTAGACTTTGATATTATAGCCACAATTCTTTCCTTAACTGTCACTATTTTATGTGAAATTAGATCTGTGACGAGCGAAGGTTAGTATTGCGCTAGGGTACCCGGACTAAGAAAAGCCATGGCAAATGGCGGTAAACCTGATGGGTCGTGATCAAACGAAAAATTAAAATATGCCTGATCTGAACAAGATGTAGGAGTCAGGACGTACTGTGTGGGTGAGATAGGTGCCAGGTAAAGGCTTTCGCCTTGAGATGGCTCTAGCGGGCTTCTCTCCGCTAAATAAAGTTCGGGTACATACAAATCTTTAATGTCAATACTGCGAGTAAGTTCTTCTCCAGTCATGAAATCATCGCAGTTGGTTTCTTCGGATGAAACTGAGGGTGCAGATCCACTCTGCGACAATTCTTCAATGGGGATTTCCCTCGTTAAACATTCGTTCCAACCTTCGAAGTAACTTTCGAAAACTGGGTTGTAAGGGTCTTCCGATTCTCCGGCCCTTGCTTGCATTGGATACATCGGGTACATGTACGTCTCCGGTCCATCTGGAATGACAGGCTCCTGCCAGAATGAAGGAGGAAGGTTCCTTTCCCGAAGTGAAGATTTCTCGTAGTTGAGAGCCTCTACACTCCTTTCAGATCTTTTAGAACTCCCCTCTTGCCTTGAAGAATTCCTCGACATACCATGTTTGCCACCGTGTAAGCTGTGAGATTTATGTTTTATAACGTCTTTGGGTTTCTTTGTGGTTATGTCGTTCTTCCGCTTTGAATAGTTCCGTAGCTGTTTTTGAAGATACCTGCGGTGGTTAATGTTCCTTTTAAAGTTAGCCGGTTTTTCTAAGGCAGTCTTTACGTTACCGGATGCCAAGTTCATAAAGTTTAAAAGAGAACTTCCAGCTGTGACTTGATCTTCCTTTCGGTTGACAGCACGGCCATCATTCGGCAAGTTAACCAGGTGTGGATCATTAAACTTCGATTTTGCGGCCATACTCGGATCCAACATTTATGAATTAGACAAAATAAATGAAAATGGTAAAGATGTATGGAAAATCGCCTTAGGCAGAGGAAAACTGTGCCAAATGTTCACTTTGATAATTTCGCAATGCGTTCACCGCGCACTAGTCCACTGACCACAAAGACGTGCGGCTATATTCAATTCTGCGCCAAAGTCACACGCTATTTATGCCGTTTGAAGGGACTGTTTACTGATGCTGTATCGGTGTGTTAGACGTTTGTAAATTAAAGCTACATTAATTGTTCTGCAGGTGCACTCATTAAATATGCAAAGAACAGGGACTTTTACTTCGAGCATTGTCGCGACCAATTGGCTCCATTCCTTGTGTGAAAATTGCGTCACCTTCGCTGAATTATCTATTATTGTCATGTAAATCAACGAAGTATTTACGTCCTTTCACATTGTTTACACACCCTTGATTAAAATTTCAGTGGAAAAGGGGAAAAACTTTAGGCTAAAATTTCGTGTTTTTTTTTTTCCAGCGGAAGACGAAAAGAATAGCGGATTAAAAGAGAATTATCTAGATATCTTACGGTACTGGCACGAAGGTAAAACCAAACTCTTAGAAAAATATCCTCAAAAAACAATTTGCACTGCGTGTTACAACACAGTGCGCGGGCTTTGTAACTATGGCCCATAGAGCTGATAATTAAAAAGCAACTAAAGAGTTCTAAAAGTGAGCAGTAAAGTCATGTTCTATTCAGAGGCGTTTCAAAAGACTATCTGCATCAGATCGCAGCTTTGAATTTGGCTTCTCCACATAGCACAATTTACGAGTTGAATATATATACCCTTTTTTTCGATTAGCCCCTTCGCAAATAGCACAGCGTACAACAAACATGTCGGTACACATATATTATATTATATTAGCATTCAGAGCAATAGTCCTTGACAGTGTCAGTTATCACGCAAACCCACTATTGTACAGAGTGAGTACGCGCGGAGGCGAGTTGTGACAATTCTTTCTTCCTTCGTGTTTCATGGGGGTCATGTCACGGACGGTAACCGAGTAAGAACTCTCAGCGTAAAAATGTACCCTATGGTAGTTTTTGTTTGGTTGAAAAGTAAATTGAAATGCTTTTGTTCGAGCCTTTGTGAACGCATGTGTTTATTTCGTAAGTCACTCGCAATAGGTGAGTCATAATCTCACCTTTTCTTGTGTTCGCTTTCAAGAATCATCGTTCCGCGTAAGAAATATTTGGAATCTTTACTATCCCTGTGCATTTCAAAGAAACCTTAATCCTTTCCTTCTTGTTGGTACACAGGTGAAAACTTGATTTAGTTCAGTAAGTAAAAAAAAAAAAAAATACGGTTTGTGCGCATTGACTCCAAGATAGCTTGTTTGCGCTAATTCTCCTTTTAGCCTCTGCCTTTGTGAATCTAAATGGAAGCTTTTGTTAATTTGAACTGAATCGCGATTAAGAACAAACACAAACACTGAGAGGGCCGATCTTCTCTTCGGTGCGAATCTCTCCTTCACCGTGCGAACCAAGGTGTTACATGTTGAAGAAAACATAGTCCTTCCTAACTGATGTTAAAAAATGTCCACCTCTGAAATCCAGATCGTAAAAGAATAACTTGAGAGCGGTTCTCTGCTATGTGTTAAAATTGTTTCAGAGAAAAGTTCTCTCGAACGATTCGCTATTTTATTTGATTTGGCTTGAGGAGATATTAAAGCTCTGAACGTATATTTCAAGGCAAAGGGGAATATTGTCATTGCTTCACTTATTAACAAGACTCTCTCAGTCGAACATTCATTAAGCGCGGTTTTGCTGAACCCCACAATGGATTACTTAATGAGTTTTAAATTAAAACGTTAATCGGTTTTTAAATCACAAGTCATTTTCGAAGTGATTCGAAATCAGGCGACACTGAGCAGTACGCGAAAACTGATGAACTTTGAGAGGACGATTGATTTAGGAAACTATAATTTACGAAATGGAAACTCAGTCAGAGACAGAAATAATTATTCAAATAAGGTTAAAGTTTTAAGCGATTCCTGGTCTTTCCTGGGAAAAATGTGTTTCACACCAAACTATCAATTTATCATGGTGTACTTTGCCTTAATCAGTATTGCTCAATTTAGTCGGTAGAGAAAGAAACCGCTAATGTTTTGTATCCACAAGGTTGTTCATCATTCACGAAAGATTCAAGTAAATTCTTGCGAAGAACCTATTACTGTTGTTACAGCAACCAAAAGGTAAATAAGAGGGAATTGTGCCGAGATGTTAAGAGAACAATTAAAATTTTTATCATTGTCCTCGGCTTCTTCCCACACTCAGATATTTCAACATTCTACCATCAAACTACAATTTGCAGGCGTTACGTGAATTTCGTCTTTATTCGAATAAAAATGAAAATGTAAAGTATTTCTACATGAGTGCAACAAAAAACTGTATCCGCCTATAAAGGAAAAAGAGATAAAAATTTGAAAAATCCGCTTTCTTTCAGCCCTCGATTATTCCTCTCCTCTTCATTCGCTGCAGTTCCAAGAACAGAATAAAATTCTAGTTATAAAAAGAGATTTTACTGAAAAAGACACTGATATATTATTCTTTTATTTGGGTCAAAATTTGCACAGGGTGCAAAGGCCTCAAACCGTAGACAAATTTTTTTAATGTGCAATTGTAAATGAAATGAATATTGATCTTCGTTTTCGGGCTGCATAAAAGCTTACTTGGTTACAGTAAGGAAATGAAAAAACTCAACAAATATTTTCATTCAAGCGCGAAACGAAATGAGCATGCAACAAAATAGTTCGTTCAGGGGACACCGCTAAAATGAACAAAATCGTCAAAAAACCTAATCCATTTACGATTACGAACTGTAATTTACAAGTGCGTTTGTTGAGTTGGTTCTGCCATTGGCGAATTGTAAACGAAAGAAAGGACTACTTAAAGATATTACACAACACCAGGGTAAGGATCCGCTCTTTCATTCGTCGATTCTTTACCATTCAATCGTTTATAGATGGGATAACTCTTTTTCCTGGAAATATTTTGTTAGCTTTGGCCGAATTGAAAAGACGTTTGCAGTGATTCAAGCTCAAGGGAGTGTTAAACAATTAGCACTGTCTGAGGGGTTTTTCTCACGTCCTTTGCCGGGTCTTGGCATCTTTTGGAGCAGCATACAGAATAAAGTAAATAAAACGTTCGCTTTTGTGATGCTAAGGTCTTTCCCAAACAATGGACCCTTTCAAAATTTAGCCATTTTTGTTTCACCAAGTTGCCATTGTAGTGTTGCTTCATAAAGCAATATATTTTTTTATTATAAGTCTAAGATGCCATTGGGCAGTCAGATAATTGGAAGTGATACTAGCTCAGCTCTGGGAGGCCACGGAAGATCTCCTCTCAGTATGTGGTCATTTAGACGTAAATGAAAAGAAAAGCTTTTCTTCGACAAGATCTAAACACGTTGTATTGATTAACCATTTTTACTTGTGAAAATTACGAGTGCTGTAATACAATTTGAGCATTCGAGACACATGGTGGGAAAAGTCTTTAACTGGTTTCCCATTATCTGAACAAATTATCGACACCACCAGGCTAGAATTGCCTTCTAAATGAAAAAGGGGAAAAAACGATTTGTTATCATTGTCTCTCGAATGTACATTTAGAGCGAGATTAAAAAAATAATAAACAAATAACATACACACGTTCAGCACAGTTAAGTTGGGGTTTTCTCCGGATGTGCGCTCGGCAAAAAAGGGAAAAAAGAAACAACAGGACCTTTTAATACTTGGACAACAGTTCAATATAGATTCACAGAATACGCTGAGAAGAACCCATACGGTTCTTTTTATTGAAGGCGAATATATGAAAGTCAATATTCCAGCGACTGGAGTTTTGTTGCCTAGGCGAAATGTTAACCGATCGCGGAAGAATCTTTGACGTGGTAGGATTTTCTGTGGGTGTCAAGTCTAATAGAAGAGAAAAAAGATTAAGATATATGTTGGTTAAAAACGGTTTTGGCGCAAAATTTCTTTCGTTAAGAGAGAAAAAGAAAGGGTTCATCAGAAACAATGACTGTCCTCTTTGGGTTGGTTTTACACAGAGAAAGATTAGGTAGAAAACTTGAGGTAATATGACCTTGGACAATAAAAACGTTCTAAGAGAACACACGCTGTATAAAATTACAGGACCAGTATTCATTCCATAGTTAGCCACTTCAAAAACCTTTCGTACATGACTGGTGGATTTCATTGCTCAGACATATATTTTTTATCCAAGCGATGAGTAAACCGCGTAATAACTGGAGCGAGATGTAATCAAATGTACTCCAGAAAGATCACTTTCCCTGAAACAGATGCTGTGATAAATTGAATTTTTTTTCCCACGATTGCGAAAAGCAGTCGAAAGAACGAATTGGAAAATTGAGGGAAAAAAAAAACTACAGTATTGAGATAATCCTCTTTTTCGGCGGGTATGAAGAAATTTTCCCACTTGACTTAGCTTATGAGAAAATACAAATTCTTTCAAATCGATCCTTTACTCAAATTTTAAACACGATTGTAAAAAGGTTTATTGCATTGAATCTTGTCTCAATATGAAACTGATAAGGTTGAAGATGAGTTGAACTGGTGTAAAAATCACGATCAAATGGAAAAAAGAAGCGACCACAGGAGGTACCACGCAACAAAACCAGCTGAGAACACGCGAAACTCTCCTTTGCAACTTTTGCTCACACCAATGCATGCCATAGATTAGATTTTATAAACCATACCTTTTTTTATTTCAACATACACACCAGGATTGTCAACAATACTTTGATAGAACACTTCTGGAAATGGGCTTTAAGTGAATTACAGACCGATAGGTTTGTCTTAGCTGTCTATGTTTTGCCGTCACGATTAAAAAACCAAGATGAGTAAAAATAATAATGTTGCTTCCATTCTGTGACACTCGTGTTCGATTTACGTCAAGAGATCAAGCAGGTTAGCTTCAAGCCTTCTGAACAACAAAATTGCGTCAGTTGGAGCACAGACCGCCCTCGCCGTAAAAAAAATGAGATAAGCGCAGAAAGATGTTTTGTTATAATAATCAATCTTGAGGCGTACCATTATGCTTCAAATCTATAAAGTCCTGCTTCGAAACACAATTATCTACCCTCCCATTTAATTTGATTTATCCAGGGTTCACTACAACAATCAGAATCTTTTTTTCCACCAAATTCCTCGAATATCACTCTAACTTTTACTCGCT